ACTTCAGAGCCATGACACACGAAAGAAAAGTCATCAACCTGACACAATAAGCATAACAAAACCCATCAACCGTGACAGACCCGGTTTTTATCTGCTAATTGAGCCGCAGTTTTGTTCTCTGTGCTTTGAGTTTCGTCCTTCCATGAGCAATTAATCTGTGTGAATAGTCTGGAAATATGTGTATTTGGGCTGAATAGTGTGAAGTTTGCTCCATAATTCTGCACCAGAACAAAAACAACCCCCCCCCCCCCCCCAAAAAAAAAAAAAAACATCCATTCATTTGATAATAAATTTTTAACTGTATTTGAAAAGAAAACTAAATGAGCAAAAATATATATGAAGACAAATTTAGTGTAAGCTGTCTTTTGTACCAACCCTAACCGAAGCCATCATTCCATCCTGCTTCTCTTTCGATTTTAATTAAGTGCATAAAACCAACATGTATAAAAAAATAAAAAATAATAAAAAACACTTCTTCTGGCTTGCCTTTCAAATCCACCACTTCATGCACTGTGGCTCATGCTTGATGCCTGCTGCCTAGGGCTCAAGGGCAAAACGATTTTACCAGTGTTTGTGTCTGTGTATGCATGTTCTTGTTTGCTGTGTTAGCAAAATATTACATGAACCACTGGGGGAATTTTACTGAAACCCACAGGAAGTCATCACTGGATGTTTACAAACAACTTGCCAAACTCCCATCTGAGTAGTTGAGTCATGTCCAACTTGTACTCCAAGAGCTAACTGGTCACACACTCTTTGGTTTGAAACTATAGAAATAAACTATTTGTTAGTAAAATATCTATTGAATAACTAGACAAATTTGATTGAAACATGTCTATAACTGTCTAAAAAAGTTAAATCTGGTCCTCTGGACATTAAAAAAAAACAAAAACAAAGCAAAACAACAAAAAATGTAGAAATGTTTCGTCTCTCGTCCGAGAGACTTCTTCAGTCTGAGGTGCTGTTTTCAGCTCAGTCTCTTAAATAGCACCTTCTCAGAGTGGATCAACCAGTTTTGCTGCTGACAACCAAAACCAGCTGATCACATGCTCAAGAAGGACCATCAGCCTAACAATGGATCATTAGCACACTGATGGCTGTGTGCTATTCACAGAGGGCTGAGTGATACTAGCAATCACAGCATTGTAAGAGGGAGACAATTGAACACGTAGGCCTCCACCCCTGTTTAATGATGGACGGTT